ATAAACAGTTTCAATTGCCAAGAATATTTCAATATTGTTAGGAATTTCATAAAAAAAAAAAAAATTTCATGAAAAATCAAAACTTCAACCTTGATGATGCACAGGTTAACCTTACCCAATTGAGCTGAAACTTCACCAATCTCAATTTTCAATTTGTTAGCCGAATAGCAGCTTTTAGAGGGATTTTTTGTGACCACTCTAATGTAGGTTTTAGTTAGTAAAAACACGCCTGAAGAAACTATTGTATGGCGAAACACGTGTTGCATTTTTGTAAAACTGTTTAGTGAAAACCTCAATAAAGTGTTTCTTGAATACGTTATAGATGTTCATCAAGTATCGGGCGATTCAACCAAATATCTAAAATTTCCCGTTTCTTCAGAGGATTCAAATGGATTTTGTCTGAAAGACGCTCAACCAGCTCGATTGTTTCAATTGGCAGAATACTGGAAAATACATTTTAGACATCAAACGGTATTAATTTACCTTTATCAAGAAGAGTGACGTTTTTAATATTATTCACTGATTGATTTGTATTATTTATACTGAATTGCGGCTTGAAATCAGTAAAGGTTTGAATTAGTTTCATGAGCATTTCCGAAATGTTTACGATTGGAGGTGTTACAAACAACTCCACAGGTGTAATCGAAAAATTGGTTTTATCATTATAATCGTTGAAGATAAATGCATTTTGGGATCTAATGAATGTGAGACAATTGCATACCACAACCTATGCTTCGAAAGACACTTCTAGAATGGTTAATTTCAGGAAATTTGTTATCAATGCTAATTTGCTTCAATTTCGTCCACTGACTACATTTTGAAACTAGAGCATTCTATTTCAATATTGATATGGATCTCTCGAAGTCAGTCATTTTCCAATGAATACTTATATTAATTTGAACAAAACATTATCGATTGAATAAGTTGTCTTTTATCACTGCACGCATATATTATAATAATAATAATAATAATGATAATAATAATGATAATAATAATAATAATAATAATAATAATAATCCCAAATCGTCCGTTCAACGGTTGTACTTCCCCCGACAACAGGGAGG